CACACACACACACACACACACACACACACACACACACATGAACATACACACATGCACACACACACACACCTTTCTGGGTAGAATGTCTCCGATCTGTGAATGCTTCTGTTTCATTTATAATTAATTTTGTGCAGAATTATCAGAAGAAGAGGGGCTGGAGAGATGGCTCATGGGTTAAGAGCACTGGCTGCTCTCCCAGAGGCCCTGGAATTCCAGAGGTTCAATTTCCAGCACCCACATGGTGGCTCACAACTGTAACTACAGTCCCAGGGGACCTGACATCCTCTTCAGGCCTGGACAGGCACTGCATGCATGTGTTATACAGATAAATATCAAACAAACAAATAGACACATAAAGTCTAAAACAAAACTTTTTAAACATGAACAAATACTGTAATTTTTAGATCGATTATATTAAAATCATAAAAAAATGACTTCGATATCCATGGAATTAATTTTAAATTTAATTTTAAAATATTTTATTCCAATGTGAATCTGGTAACTCAAAATTATATGCATCAAAATGCTTTTTTTGTCTTAGTCAAACTGAAAAAATGAAACTGTGGCCAGAACCTCACCTTATAGCTTCTGTAAATAGAGTCAAAAATTCAGTTCTAGGAACTGGGAGAGGTGGCCCATGAGCCTTTCATCCCAGAACTTGGGAAGAGAGGCAGGTGGATGTCTGTGGATTTGAGACCAGACTGGTCTACATACCAAGTTCCAGACATCCAGAGCTACATAATAGAGAGGCTGTGTCTCAAAAAGAGAGAGAAAAAAAAAATCAATCCTAGGAGTTGGAGAGATGGCTTAGCAGTTCCGCGAAGAGCACTTAGTGATCTCAAAGAGGACCTGAGTTGGCTTCTAGACCCCACAGGTGGCTCACAGCCATCTGTAACTCTAGGTCCAAGAAATGGAAGCCTTCTTCTGACCGCCTCGGCACCAGGCACACATATATATACGTGCACACATAAAATAAAAAAAAATTTATAAAAAAAAGTTTCCAAAAAAAAAATAAAATTCAGTTCTGCCGGGTGGCGGTGGCGGCGGCGGCGGCGGCGGCGCACGCCTTTAAT